TATGCAGTTTGTCCTAGATGGGAAACTACATTTAGTATGTTGTGATGATGCTCAGGGAATGAATGTTAGGTGGTAATAAAAAAAAAAAAAGTTGTAGGAGAAAAAAAAAAACAGTGAAACTGTTCGTATCATTTTGTAAAAAAAAAGAAAGGCATATTTTACGACTGCAGCGAGCTGTATGGGCACAGCTGGGTACTATCTACTCACTGGGGTTTATGCCTAAAGTCAGACTTGGGTTCATGTATAGGTATGTGTCAGCTGTGCTAGCTATTGCATATATTTAGACTAATTAAGTTCATTGGCAGAACAATTGAATGGGGGAGGGTTGGCATGGAGGGCAACCATGGATGCCAGGGACAATGGGGGAGGAGGATGGGACATAGCAGAGGGTGGGGGATGGGGAATCAAGGATGGCAAGACAAAGGGCAAGGTATGCAGGACATAAGAATTGGAAAATTATTTGCTGAGAACATGTATGTTGATGTGCTTGATTGAGCCAATGCACAGTGTATTTTGGATGGAAAATTCATTTGTGTGTTGTGATGGTGTATAGTGAATTAATGTAGGAAATGAATAAATTAAAAAAAAATAGTTAATTAAAAAAAAAAGAGTTGGCCATTAAAGAGTCAATTCTCTATGTTCAGAGCTTAACCACTGCACTATAGAGTTTTCCACTATCTACATTATAGATCATTTTTTTTTAATTGCCAGAGTGTGCACACACTCCCTAGAGAAAGAGAGAAGAAAAGGGAGAGGGAAAGGGAGAAAGCAAGAGGGAAAGGGAGAAAACGCCATGCATTGGGGTGTGGTTACACTTCAGTCCCTTCTCCTTTTTTCTTCTTGGGATTTTGGTCATGTACACACACATACCTGGTGTGGTTTTTACTACCAGGGTGAAGACTTGAACTGCAGTCAGCTATGTGGAATCCGGTTCTCTTAACCGTGAGGCCACTGGGCCAGCTCTTCGCGTTACATTTTTAAAAAGTCTCCCCCTCCTTCCTCCCTGTGAGATAGGCACTTCAACAGGGCCTCATGCTGTGATCCTTCTTCCATGCCTTCCCAGCCAGCCAGGATCATGGACATTCACGTGTGTGCCTCACATACACAGGTCAACCCAGGAACTGAACCTGTCCTCCATATGACTCTGGCATTGTGGGCATGCACTATCACCACACCACCATGCTGGGCCTCCACATTACATTTTTATCCTTATTATTACATAGCAGATATTCAAATGACTGAAGACAGTCGTTTTCATGTAAGGATTTGCATGTATCCCAAGTCTCACCTCCCCTTCTTCAGGGTTTCCTACCAACAA